TAGGTGTCAGCATTCCTTACAAAAAAAGAGTGATTTAATTTTTTGAGATAAGATACGTAATCATATTATACTTCTATTACGATTACACATTTCTTTGTTCTTATATATATATTTGTACATAAATGCAAATTACAATTATCAAGAAAATAAGCCCACATATTTATACGGCACATTTCAGAATTCGAATTCAAATTGTAGGGGTTCATTTTAATTTCTTAAAAGTTATTTTTAATTTTGAAACCCTTTCCTTTACTTCCTTGTTTCTCGCCTATAATTCACTGCCATAATGAGTTTTCAGTATCGCGTTTTAAGTAAATGACGAAGAAATAGTATTTAATGAGAAATTTCAGTCACTTCCGTGGAAGAGCTCAGAAATTCTCAGTAGAGCGTGTTCTGCCTTCTGCCTTGCTTTAGGCCGATCTTACAGCGTTCGGTTGTTTTCTTACGTGCTTGTTAGTAATCGCCGGTGAGGTTTAATTAAAGGCAAACTCTGTTAGTTATTTTCGTAGAGCTTCGGCTAAAGATTAGATAGTGAGAATTAGTTTAGTTCCTTATTTTCTGCCTTAAGTTAGAGCCCAAGCGGAGGCTTTCCTGGAAGCCCGAGAGGGGCCTACTGTAGTTATTCTCAGTTTAAATAAAAGGGTATTATAACACTTGTTTTGATTATTTCTGCAGTTTTAAGAACAGTGAATAGTCGCTAAACTCAAGTTCTAGTTGTTATGGACAATCAATTTAACTAGAACCTTATATAGTTTGTAATTTTTAGGAAACAGATTATATTGATAAACATTAAATTTTTTTTTGTTTTTTCTCACTCCACATAAGATAAAAGAACTTCATCTTGTGAGATTAAAGTTTCAAAAGTATGAAAACCAATTTTTTTATTAAAATTATGTATTTAAAGACGAGTATAACTTCAGCTATAAAATAGCAAAAGTATATTTTTATGTCATTGGAAATTTTGTTACCGAATAAAAGCATGAAATTTTATTTGCTTCTTCTATAGTAAAGTTTGTGAAAGCTTTCATTTTATTTACCTCTATTACTGATAATGAAGGATCTATATGCATGTATACTCCCCATATTCTGCAAAACGGTGACTCTTAGAACCATGAACATACATAGTTCTTTATTATAAAAACCTCTGAAGCCACGTGCCTATAGAACTCGCAATTTTGAATTGCAAATTTCTTTCATGTTTGGTGCGAATTTCAAGAAATTTTGACCTTTCCTTAAAATATTAGAAATTCATGTTTTAAATTTAATTAAAAAACTCGGCGATTTCAAATTGTCTTGTTTGTCTCTGAAATTTGATAAAAGCATTAAATTTAAAAGAAATGTGTTGCCACGATGTAAAATATTCTTGTATTCCACGAGCTGTGTTGCCAATCGGAAAAGCGTAAGGCATTTAATTTTTCTTTCCAATTTAGTATGTCCGTTAAAGAAATTAAATGATAAATTATTGATAAGAAACTCAAACTCAAAATTCATCTGTATTAATATAGTTACTGATCATCTAGTTATCGACTAATTAAAATTGTTATGTGTTTTTTTCTAGTTAAAAACAACTGTTGTAAGTTTTTCACATGCAAGCGGCTAGATGAATTAAAGGTTACCTTTCTTACAAACAAAATATGTTGTACTGATTTTACTAATTAGACTTTCGCGCCATGAAAAGCGCAATTTGAATTTCGTCGATCGGCGCAGTAGAACGGGAGATATAGAACTGCTCACCCCCTCTTTTTTGCGCAGTCTACATTATTTTTTAAAGTATATCATACCTCCGATTTTATTCAAGGTGTATGATAATGCCAGCATTATGATTAAGAAAGAATCTCATATCAACAGAATACTAGATAAGATTCCCCAGTAAATCTCATTTGGCCCAAATTTAAGTACCACTTGATATTTACCAAAGCTTAGTTTACCATCTAGAACCTCATTGGTCTGAAGCATCAGAAAGGAAGCTTCTTCTACCCTTGCCATCAAATTTATCATTGCCGACATCAAATTTATGTGACTGGACCGCAGCATTGACCGAATGCTGAGAGTTCAGTGTGGATGCATTTGTTTAAGTCAATATATTTATTTAAAGTAAGGGATTCAATAAATTTCCTTGCGATGCCGAACTTTCGGAACACCCTATATAATATTCCAGCCTTAAATTTCCCATCCCATTTAATAAATCTCATATATGTAGCTATGAAACGTATGTAAAGTTTTTCAAGTGTTATTGGACATCGTCCTTCGTGTATGAATATCTGTTAAAAGAAATGAAAGCCACAAATACCACCTTCCTTTAGTTTTTATTGGTGCAAGATGAAATGATTTTATGTACAGCAGTATGTATGTATCAATTAAGAAGGAACTTTTCTCTATGTATATTTATATATATTATTAATGCACAGTACACGAGTATGAAAAGTACACTCAGCCAAGCTACGACGAGACATGATACATCTCTAGACGAGACAGTGACCCCCAATGCTGTGAAGTCCATAAAAATTTATTCAGCATCTTCGTTTTATTCAATGGAGATTTTTTTCATTTATTCCAAGCGCTTTATTCTTATGTATACAATATGTAGATTGATTCAAGTTTAGCAGTAATAAATGGAGAAGTACAGCTTCGTGTTTTCCAACAATTGCAGCTTGTGTTTCTCAGCCACTGGATTTGTGGATGTATATGAGAAAGCTTCTAAATTAAATTTTTGGATTTCGAAATTGGCGGTCAAATAAAATCATAGTAACATACTTAATTCCATTTAAATATTGTATGTGTTATTTGTTTTTAAAGCGACTTGAGTTCAAAGACTGCAAAATGCGGCTTTTTTTCACATTAAAAATCTTTTGCATTTTGTGCAATTTTTAAAATATTTGATACATGCAATAAATACAATTTTAGGTGTTCTTTAAAAAGCCTACAATAAACATAAAATATAATTTTTGGTTATTTAATTGTCTTGCAAGCACTTTATATTATATTCAAGCTATGGTTTATTATTTGAGTATTAATATTTTTAATCTGATGCACATATTAAACTCTCATCAGAGACGACGTCAGAACCCTAACAGATACATTTAAAAATACTTTGTTTGAATACGTGCAATTAATAAGCATCAAAATTTAAATCAAAGTTAAAGTTTTGAAATTTAGTATATATCTTGGGATACTGGTCATTATTATTTTGTATCAATATAAGTATTCCAAAGGAAAAGAAAAGGAATAATATTTTTTGGCATTTGTATATATTAACCAGAAAATTTAATAATTTTAAACATAGAAGTAATTTCGACTTGTTTTTTATTCGTTTTAAATTTAAAAATTTAATCGTAACCGAATATAAAATTTAACTATTTAATCAAAATTTATGTAACAATATTTATTTACTCTCGATCAAACAAATAATTACGTTATGCATAATAAACTGTCTAATTACTTACTCATAATTTCATAATTCAATAAAAACATCATAAATTATTTATTTGGTTATAATTAGACTTAATTCTACATTATTTCTAATTCCAAATCAGTTCGATTACATATAATTCAGAAGATCAGTTATAAAAATTTGATTAGTTATAATCATAAATTATATATTAATTTTACACGTATTTTCTAATTCATATTTTAATGGAATGCTTAATAGTATTTTATGCAAATATTAAATGAGAATTAAAAAAATTGATTCGAAACATCTCTCAATTTTTTTTCCCATTTAGAAACGTTTTTAGAAGAGTCATTCTAAAATTTTTGAACTGGTACGCTGCACTGCAACATTTTTTTTTTAATTATTGCCACTGCGCAAAACATAGATCTTTAATTTAATATTTTGCATTCGGGTAGTCGGGGTTTTGAGAGTTGATTTGGCAAACGATAGGTTTTTAAATTTATCTTCAAACGAAACTGTACGCAATAAAAACAAGAAATGCACTTCTTAAGTATTTTAAACTTTGTTTTATTTTTAATAAGCTTATTAATCGATATGATTTTAAAAGCATTTAATATACAGTTTTATCCATTTTATAATTCATGTGAACATTTGCCAAATTACTGTGATTATTTCTAACTCCACATATTACGTACCTGGTACAATTTTTTTTTTTTTTTTTTTCTTTTCTCTTTTAAATTTAATAGTCGAAATTTACTTAAAAAAATTCTTAACATTCACTGAGAATCGGCGAACATTTTTATAGCCCTCTTCACTTACATTCGCATATAAAATTTAAGATAATCATACCGTAATCGTATTAATTGATGAAAATTTTGTGTGATGTCTACCTATAGTATTCAACATAAAACTATACAGAATTTTTTCAGCGCATTAAAATTACATATAAAAGTAAATATAGATCGTTCAATTCACTGCTAAATGTGAATCAATCTTCATTGAGTGCTTTGAAGTGGAGGTATAGTTATTTAACCGAGGGGTCTCTAAGCGCGTATTTACAAGTTTCGATGCATCTCAGTAAAACTGAAATTCGCCGAGAACATTTTTAGTTTAAAAACTATGTATATATATATTATATATATATATATATATATATGCAGATAATTCGTTTGCTTTCAAACTTTATTTCTCATTTTCACCATCGCAAAAGAAAGAAAAAATAATAGTTGATACTATATTTAATGCAAAATACTATGTATTTGCAGTTTTAAAGTGGGTAAAATTTGCAGTTTGATTCATCATTAGATAAGTTTTCATCAGTATTGTCGATATAGTACGAGTTAATATGTAAGCAGAAGTAAATGTATTAGGTTTCGATGAAAAAAAAAAAAAAAAAAAAAAAAAGATATTGGTTGATACCCTGTATCTGTATGGTGTCTGGTTTACTATAATGCAAAACATTCTTTTCTTGAGCTTTATCTCAACGACTGATTAGCTAACAAAATAAAATACTTTTGATTAAATTAAATATAAAATATTAAGATTGAATAATAAAATTATTGCTTAAAACGCGACGCGTTTTCATTTCAACTTAAGTTTAAACAAAGAAATTAATTTAAATTTTACAAGTTATTTTTAGTTTTGCAGTTGGTTTTGAAAATACAAAATCTGCTGCTGTTAAGCTAAAATTCAAATAATGCGTTATTTATTTATGAATATAAAATTAGCATTTTAACAAAAAGATTAAAGAATTTTGCATCTAAAGTTGCACTTAAAATATTTCACATATATATTACCCTTCTTTTTATGTAAGTTAAACAACGGCAAATGTCAAACAGAATTTATAACGCTTATTTCGCTTAGCATAATTTTACATATAATTTTCTTTTTCTAAACTAAAACACATAAAGCATCTTTCGGTTCATAAGGAATAATATTTTTTTCCGAAATTTATATTTTTCTACCTTAATTGGTTTCTGAATTTTATAATAGATGTAGAAGCATATTTGATGTTTACATTAAATATTCCTCAATGAAGAAGATTAAATAAAATACAGCAGACTAAACAAATCTAAATTTTCTTCGACAATAAAACAGGGATTAAAAGCAATTTTTAAAATACATTGTGAAATTGTTAAAATACATTATTATTACAAGAAATCGTTTATTTTATGCAAGGGAAAATTAATACTGTATTTTTATATTTTTCATGTGCAATTAATTTAAAATTCGCTTTTAAGAATGTGTCTTTCAATAATATTTCATAGTTACGTTAAAATAATCGTTTTTAGGATATTCAAACTGCAAATTTTGGATGTAAGAAAAAAAAAATCTGCCATACTTTGGTTTATTATTGCTCCTTGCAAGGTTACCTGCCTTACAACACAGCATATTGATCGAGAGTAATAAAGTGGACGTAAAAGGCATTGTTTTTGTTACTGAAATAAATATAATATTTTGTAAAATGAAGATTTTTTGAAATGCAATAGGTACACTCAATGTACAATTTTTTAAATGCAAAAGGTTCCATTTGTTTCAGTTTTCCACGAAAACCAGTTGCAAAAATTCCATGTCCCGAGTGAAGCCGGCCATCAGATTTGGTCAAAATGCCACAAGCGATTTTGATTGATTTCGATATTCGAAGGAGGGAATGAAGTATCGAAATCAATCAGGTTCTGTTATTAATTGATTATTGTATTGTAAAATTACATTATTCCCGACCTGAGAAGTACAAAGTGAAAGAAATACAATGGTACTTTTGATCCTGAAAATTGTGGAGGGGGGGAATTGATGACAAAAGTAAAATCTGAGAAAAAAAAATTTCGAGATAAAGCAGTTCACATATCTGTAGAAAACACCATATTTCTTTCACATAAAAACCTTTTCTGCGAAAACAAATTCTGACAGGCCGAAGCCATTGCTACACTTTACAACCATATTTTTCGTCGAAAGACAGATCCGGTCCTCAGCAAAAAATTAAGCTTCGTGATCAGTCCATTTTTGCCAGTCAAATTTTGTGAAGACACAAAGAGCAATTAAGTCCCCATTTACGTTTCGATAAGGCAGGTTCGGAGCCGGATGATTCAGATGGACGTTGATATAATTTTGTTTCATATGTCAGCGTGACATCGATGATTTAGAGCACATGTGCGTGGTTGGGAAAATTATTGAATGAATCGGGACATACATGACACGACTCTTCCCATTTGTGATATAACCAATTTATATATATATATATATATATATATATATATATTTGAACATCTCATTCTCTATTTCAAGTGCAAAGTCTGGGCTTTCATTTGTTGGGATCACATTGCTCTTAGGAAATCTGCTTTCTGGAGCAGATCCTTTCCTACTCCGGCAACGATACACTTCCTATCAAAACGCCATTGCTCGATGGTGTCAATTCATTTGTTCACTCTTTATAATCCGAAAGTCCGGAACAAAGAGGTGACGATCCTTCCGGACCGCCAGATAGTGAGTTCGGAAATTGAGTCCAGAGCTGTGCGCAAGATGCCAGTGCCACAGAGGCCCCCTTATCATGATGATGATGATGGCCCACGTCCCAGCAACCGAGGCCTGGTTGCGGTGGAGCCCTATGTCAAGCCATGGCTCCAACCATGCTGTTGGAAGTGGCTAGACCCAAGCCTCCTGTCCCCAGCGGCAGTGGCGCACCGCTGGATGACAAAGACAGGCTAGAAAGTCCCGGCGCGCTGTTCATGTGCATGGGAGGCGATGTGACGAAAGATCCTGCCATTGAGATGTTCATATTGCTCTGGTGCATATAATGATTCATGGTCACAGACATCGAACCAAGTTGGCCGGCAGGCCCAAAGCTGGAAAAAGGCTTGTCCAGAGGTTTCAGACATTCAGGAATGGCAAGGCAGCCTTTCTTTTTCTTGCTCTTTGATGAGAGTTTTCGGTTTCGTGTTTGAATGCCTTCCTTCTTCATGGTAAGAGGTCGGTTCACCTGAGAAAATGTAAAAAGAAATTAATAAATAATCAATTAAGAACATGATGAAAAAATGAAAGTACAGACGAATTAAAAGTTTCAGCAGGTCAAATATTTCACGAAACATTAATAGATCCTTTATGGCCGTAAAATAACCGTGATGGTCATAAAGTTTTAGCATAACATGCATTATTTCGCGGCCAAAAGAATGTATATATCGTTATTACGTCATATATTCCATGAAAATCTTAAATAGCAGAGTGAATCAGATTCAAATTTCTGCAGTTCCAGTTATTTAGCTGATTATTAATAGACAGTATTTCCAATTGAAACGATATTTTATTTTTCTTTTCGAAATTAAGTCGAAAATAAACTATTATTAATGTTAAAATTATAAACATAATTATTTCTGCCTTACCTTATCTTTGCTGTTGATTTTAAAAACAGGTTTTGAAGGAATAAAATAAGACACTGGGTATTAGTAAATTTGTACCAAGCTGGACACCCAAAAGGAGAAATACCAATTAATAGTTTGCTATACGGGAAAGAATCTCTGTGTCCTAGAGGATTACTTAACACCAACTATCAGATAGTGCCCACATCACATTGTTACTTATTTTTATAACACTTCTGCAAATCCGATTTTAACGTTTATCCTAACTAGCAGAGAAAACGTTTTGCAATACAGCAGAGCCAAAACAGCAATAATAAAGCTGAATGGAAACAAACACAACAACAAAAGTCCGGAAACCGCATTGCGTGCACAACGTCTGTTACTTCGGTGACAGCGTAAGGCCGGACTTTACAACCCCCCTCTTCTGTACTTCATAATAATTACTTTGGAAGACCGACGCGAAGGTAATGCATCTTAATCGGCCTCTCTTTCATTGTTCGTAGGAATGGTCATTGCCAAAGAAAATGACTTGCAAATTCGGTGTCCAGAACTCAAAATGGAGTCTTATTGTGAGAAGCATTTCTCTCCACTCCCTCTAACTGACTATATATTTTTTAGAAAAAAAAAAAATAATAATAATAAAAAAGGAGTAATGTATGCCCTCTGCTTTTGGTTACTTTTTTTTATTCCTTTTTTTGTTTTTCTGATTTTTTTCCCCCCGCGAGCCCCCAATTAACACTGTTGGCAGGAAGTATTAGTGATGTGTTTTGTCACGCAATGTGGCTTCTAAGCACGCACTAAACACTTGTTGCATGTTGCACCTTGCAGAGTTAGGGGACTTCTTCTTTATTCCATCTCTCTCAGAGGTTGCTTTATATTAAAAGAAGATAAATTATTTTAGATATGTATGTAACCGAAATCAACTGCTAGAAGAGCAAAGGACATCGAGATCATAATGTGTTAAAGCATAGGCTCAAATTTTTTTTTCTAGATTTTAGCTATGATAAGCAAAAAATCGCAATGATTTTAAATTACCTATTCATCCTAGGAAATCTTGTTGGTTGTCTAGTTCTCCTTCAATAGTGCATAATTTATCGGTGTAATTAACAGTCAGATCATTTTCATTTGATAAATCTATATGCGAATTTACACATTTTCCTGAATGCTCAGAAAAATGGGCTGGATTAAAAAAAAAAAAAAAAAAAAGAGGGCATCTAAATAATTAAATTATTTTAAAAAATTTTTTTATTTCATACATTTGGTATTAAATGGTATCTTGAATAAAAAATAATGAATTTTTTTTATTTAATACATTTGCTTTATTAAAAATTCTTAACAAATAATTCATTAAAGTCAAATGCCCCGTGATGTTAAAATTTACGATATTTTGTACTTATTAACTAATGGGGGGAAGTTTTTCAGTGAAATACACTTTTAGTTTAAATATATAACCATCCAACACTTCTTCAAAATTAGTAAATGCAAATAAATCTTTTTACATGCATAACAGAACTGCAACGAAAAATGTATAACTGGCGTTTAAATTTAATGAAAATTTTCATTTTTATCTATTTATTATTCTAAATTTATTTCAAATACTAAATACGTTAGTCTGATAATAGCAGAACTACAGCATGAAAGGATGAATGCCTCATCTAACTTGTAACGTAATATTGATTGATTGAAAGTGTTTTGAATATAATGATAAAACTCTTGTAAATAAATTGTGATAATTATGAAGATCGTTCAGGTGATATGCATGCCAGCTTTCTGCTGCTAATAGGTTAGATGTTTTACTACTGCAAATGACCATCAAAGGAATTTCTAAAGATTCGCATTCTGTTGGAAAAAAACCTGCACAAACTTCGTGAAGCTATTCATTTTTTTCTATCGAACAGGGAAAGAACGATAAAGTAACTCATGTTCTTATCTATTCAGCAATTGGTGTGCGAAAGTTCGAGTAGGTGTGTAAAAGTGCTCTAGAAGGTGAATTCCGTATGCTAAAGTTATTCAGCATTAGGCTGAAGAATTGTTCAATATATATTTGACATTGCGATATTAAGCATTGCAGTTTGGAGGAGAAAACTGCTTGCAGGCGGTCGCCCCGAGCAACAGATAGGGCTGAACATGCAGGTGGCAAAGAGGAAAGTCGACCGACCACAGCATGGGAAGATCGGTGGACGATCCATTCGAAGGCGGCCACAGCCGGAGGGAGGCGAGGCGATTTGGTATGCGGCTCGCGTCCGTCACTTCCTCCGCTGAGGTCCCTGACACATCTGCGTCGAGAAGAGAAGGGGGTCCTTTGTGTGTCACCTGTCACGACTGCTCCTGGCCCCTTCTTTCCATTTATTTCTGAAGCCGTTGTTTCCTCTCTCGCTGGCAGAGCTGGGTTTTTATTTGTTGTTGTCTTCTTCCTCTTTGTAGCCTTCAAATCCATTGGCGTTGTTTCCGGGCCGACAACGCTCGAAACCGAAATTCTTCTGGTGAAGAGGTTTATGAAACAACAAAGAACAAAAAATTAATTGCCTTCTCTCCAAATTCGCGTTAAGGGTGCAAAACATGGATCTGTAATTTGTATCTCAACCTAATAAAAATGATTATTTATTTACAAATATCATAGCTGTATCTCGTAGATAGTTTTTTCCCCCTTCTTATCAATTACACATTGGTAAACGTGCTTGAATTTTTTTATTGCTTTTTAAAGCTTTGTGTATAGATCCTGGAACATCGTTTGGACTTTTTGTGATTGAGGCAAGTTAATGCATTAAGAGTTATCTTGCCTCAATAATGCCGAAAATTCAGTTTCTGATTCCGCTAATGCTTAGGCGTGAAATTTATTACAAACATTTATTGCTTAAAAAGCAATTTCTGTCAAATTTTACAATTAATTAATTTTTTATAGCTAATTCACTGGAAAATCTCTCGTACGAAAGAAAGTAGAAATCAATTACAGAAGGAGCATTTCTCTTCATCGCAGCATCTGAGTGAACAAAAACTTGAATATTGATAGACACATCTTCAGTCAGATTTCCTACATAAACGCTGTATGATTTATGTACAAAATTTCCAAATCAATTGCTCCAACTCAAATTTATACATCAGCTTTCCTGCATAGCTTACGAGTTTGCTGGGAAAGCTGCTTTCATAAGAAGGTGTTATAACATTAAGGAAATTTTCATTTTCCTTTTTCACGCTAGGTTTTGTTTTCTTAACATCATTTCTAAATTTATTATACTGCTCTATAATAAATAACTTATAATAAACGACGGTTATGCACAGTTGGATTTCCAGAAGTTATGCTTTTCACTATAAGACCCAAAGGTAAGTTCAAATAGTGAATCGTCGAGTTTAATAGTTGCTGAAAAGATGTAATGGATTACTAAAAAAAATAATTGTTAGTTTTAGTTGGAGGCAAAATAGAACTACCTCATTCCCAGAAAAAAATACGAATTATATGTCTGTTGGCTAAGCAACAGGCATATAATTCAAAGGAGCGTTTTTTCATTTACACACACATACACGTTTCAAGAGCATTTCGGCTACTGTCCTTTGGGCTAAAAATATTTAGAAACAACATAGCATTAGAATTTCCAAAAGATAACCTTGCACGCTGAGGTAGAATTTTTTTTTTAGTCCAAAGAGGCTTTGTCCCTGAGGTGCTATTGTTTTCGCTTTGCGATTTTGCGTCGAATCACTATGAATGTCCGTTTCACTTTTCAAACTGTTGCCACCTAATATTATCGCCCTGTGTTATATTTGAAGAAATTAAATAATGAAGAATCTGCATAAATTTTCTCGCATTGTGATAAAACAACTGTTCCTAGAGCCATCCAGTTTTGAATGACGTAATCCTCCTGCGAATAGGGGCATCTGGAAGCCCAAATTTGAAATTTCGAATTTATTTTATTATCGATTTCTTATTTTGTAAAACTTTAACAATTTTTTTATTAACAAACTCAAGGATTTCAAAGCAAACAATGGCAACGTTGTACAGGAAAAACATTTTTATCTCCAGCGCGCGAGTCTGTGTATCGCAAATCCTAAAGATATGCTCATTTTAAAATTATTTTGCGATATTGGTGTTGAACTGAATTTTATATTTAATAAATTCATTATATTTAATAAATAAAGGTAGCACACAGAATGTTAAAAATACGCCCCTTTTGAAGTAATTTAAAATCTGAAACTTTTAATATTTTTAATGTATATATTTCAGTTTTTTAAATGTAGAAATGCTGAATTAATTGATTTTGCTATTTTCGATTACATTTTATGCAACAAATATTAAAAGTATAATTAAAACTTACTGTTATTCTGTTCGCAGAATCATGCAAAAATGCATTTAATTTGATTTTCAAATACATATTTTCTTTCCGATTTGTGATCTAGCAAATTAGCGTACGCTGCCATTACAAACCACAAATGCTTAACAAACGCACGCACGTAAGCGCAGAAATGTCACTCTCCCCTATTTAAGAGAATGGAGGTAAAAAAGGAGGGGGATATAAAGGGAGAAGAAGAGACCAAAAAAAAAAAAAAAAAAAAAAAACTCCGATGTACCGGCTCCATTCTTTATTTGTCGTATATTATTATTATTATTTAGGACTCTAACAGAAGCGGCAAT